CCTGCCTCTGCCTCCCGAGTGCTGGGACTAAAGGCGTGCGCCACCACCGCCTGGCAAGAGGGTTTTTTTTAAAAATAAGTATTTATTATGTATACAGTGTTCTCTCTGCATGTATCCCTGAAGGACAGAAGAGGGCACCAGATCTCATTACAGGTGGTTGTGAGACACCATGTAGTTGCTGGGAGTTCACCTTTGGAAGACCAGGCAGTGCTCTTACCACTGAGCCATCTCTCCAGCCCTGTATGAGAGGTTTTTTGTTTTTTTTGTTTTTTTTGTTTTTTTTTTTCTTCTCTTTTTTTAATTAATTTTTATTTTATGTTCATTGGTGTTGGGGTCCCCAGGAACTGGAGTTAGTTACAGATAGCTGTGAGCTGTCATGTGGGTACTGGGAATTGAACCAGGGTCCTCTGGAAGAGCAGTCAGTGCCCTTAACCGCTGAGCCATTTTCCCAGCACCCCTTTATGAGAGTTTTTCCCAGGTGTTATATATGTGTACCATGTGCATGCATGGTACCCCCAAGGAGGCTAAAAGAAGGCTTTGGATCCCCTGAACTGGATGCACAATATAGGTGTTGGGAATTGAATCCAAGTCCTCTGCAAGAGCAACAAACAAATTGGGTTATTGTTCCTGGTACCTCACTTGTTGAGACAATTCTTGGCATTAGAGAAGAAAACCCATTTCTGGGAGACTTGGTTTCCCAGAATAACTTGATTAGGAATTGCCTGTGCTGAGGCAGTGTCAGGCCCTTATGTATTAAGAGCTGGGCAAAGCTTCCTAGATGAGTTTCCCGCCCAGCCAGGCTTGAAGACAATATCTCTAGGATCAGAGGAGCCCTGGGGAAGGTAGGAACTAAGGATGCCAAGCAGAATGCCTCAATGTATCATCCCCACTAGGAGGGCCGTGTAGCCATTACTCGGGTGGCCAACCTTCTGCTATGTATGTATGCCAAGGAGACTGTAGGCTTCGGAATGCTGAAGGCCAAAGTGAGTACATTCCTATGTTACAACCTTCCTGGGCCCAGCCATAGTCCCTCTTCACTGTGTCCATTCCCTACATGTACCCCTTTCTGAAATTCTCATATCTAGTCCGTGTCTGAAATGGGCTGAAGAGCAGTGGGGGTGGGCTGGGGTCTGGTTGATGCTCATTGTGGGGCAGGGAGCCAATTTGGGATACCTCTAAGCATAGGCCATGCATGGACTGACATGTGCTTTTCCCTCCTTGCAGGCCCAGGCCTTGGTGCAGTACCTGGAGGAGCCCCTCACCCAAGTAGCAGCATCATAATAGAGTGATGGAAGCTGGAGTCAGAGGACGGATGGTGGATGGGAGGATCAGGGCCCTAGAGACACCTTACTGGACTGGTTACAGGAAGGTGGGACTCTGGCTTTAGCTTTTTTACAAATAAATTTCAACTCTTGCCTTGTGTCTAACTGCTTTCTTGGATGGAAGAACTCAGGCCATGGGAAGGAGTGAGTAAATTATTTAAGGGATTCATCCTCTGCAAAGGTGGGTTCCCTCATCTCCCATCACCAAATCTCCCAGCAGTTCTTGGCAGGGCTACCCAGTGTAGTTGACTTCTCCAGTGCTGGGCTTCTCACTCCAACCACTCAGAACTGATTTTTCTCCTTCTCCCACCCACGACAGGATTTCCTTGTGTTGCTTTGGCTGTCCTAGAACCAGCTCTGTAGACCAGGTTGGCCTTATACTCAGAGATCTGCATACCTCTGCCTCTTGAGGGCTGGGATTAAATTTGTGAGTCACTATATCAGCTTTAAAATTTTTTTAAAATTAATATGTATGAGTGTTTGGCCTGGTTTTATGTCTGTACCATGTATGTGCCTGTAAAAGTCAAGAGAAGGGCATCAGCTCTCTTTAGAACTAGAGTTACAGACTGTTGTGAGTCACCATGTGGGTTATGAGAACCAAACCTAGGTCCTCTGTAAGAGCAGCCAATGCTCTTAACTCCAGCCCTTAGAGCAGAATCTTGCCTGCCTATTTGGCAGTACCTTGGAAGTGAGCTAGAGGAGCAAAGGCCTGTGTTTGTTGGACACACACAAATCCTTTAAGGAGGGGTCCTCTCAACTTCCTTTCCCAAGTTTTCATAAGTCAGACCCTCTCTGTAGCATTTGTTTTGTTTTTAATTAAAAAAGAAAGTGGAGGGGCTGGAAAGATGGCTCAGAGGTTAAGAGCACTGACTGCTCTTCCAGAGGTCCTGAGTTCAATTCCCAGCAACCACATGGTGGCTCACAACCATCTGTTATGAGATCTGGTGCCCTCTTGTGGAGTGCAGATATACATGGAAACAGAATGTCGTATACATAATAAATAAATAAAATCTTAAAAAAAAAAAAAAAGTGGATGGTGGGAGGGAGAACTGTGGTTGGAATATAAAATGAAATAAAATAAAAAATGCAAAGAAAAAGAAGCGAAAGAAATTGTGAGCTGTTGGTGGTGGTACATCCCTTTAATCCCAGCGCCCCGGAGGCAGAGGCAGGAGGATCTCTGTGAGTTCGAGACCAGCCTGGTTTACAGAGCAAGTTCCAGGACAGCCTCCAAAGCCACAGAGAAACCCTGTCTGGAAAAAAACAAGCAAACAAAGAAACAAAAAACTTGTGTGTGGGGTGACCACTCTAACATGAGATCATACTTTGTAATCAATCACTTTGTGCCCCTTGCCTGTATGCTGATCTGTGTTTTTTTTTCTATATAAGGAGCCGGTAACCCTTCCTGGGGTATGCAGCTTTCCTGAATTTTCTGACACCCGCTTGAGCATTCGTTCAATAAACCCTCTTGTTTTTGCAAAAAAAAAAAAAAAAAACTTGTGTGTGTTTACACAGATGCCTCACCATTACATTTACTTTGTGTGTGTTTATTAGTGTGTGTGTGCGCGCGCTCGCGTGCATGTGTGGGTAAGTGTGTCCCACAGTACAAGTGGGACAACTTTTTTGTTTTTTTTTTTTTTCTTGAGACAAGGTTTCTCTGTGGCTTTTGGAGGTTGTCCTGGAACTAGCTCTTGTAGACCAGGCTGGTCTCGAACTCACAGAGATCCGCCTGCCTCTGCCTCCGAGTGCTGGGATTAAAGGCGTGAGCCACCAACGCCCGGCTTGGTTTGGTTTTTCAAGACAGGGTTTCTTTGTGTAGCTTTGGATGTCCTGGAACTCACTCTGTAGACCAGGCTGGCCTCAAACTCACAGAGACCCCACCTGCCTCTGCCTCCTGAGTGCTGAGATTAAAGATGTGTGTCATCTCTGCCCCTGAATGTTTTTTATTAGATTCATTAATCGTGTGTGCATGTGAGGATGCATGTCTGCCCTGGCACATGTGTAGAGGTCAAAGGACAACTTTGATTCTTTCCTTCCACCATGTGGGTCCTAGGATTTAGCTCAGGTTGCCAGACCCTGCATCAAGTTCCTTACTTTGAGTCATCTTGCTGGTCCCTGGTTTGTCTCAGGAGATAGGGTCTTGTTATGTGGTTCAGGCTGGCTTCCAAAATGGTACAGGCTGGTTTCCAACTTTCAATACTGTGCCCCAGCAATTCCCGGGAGTTGCAGGGAAAACCCCCAAACCTGGCTCCTCTTTCGAACTAGATGCCTTGCTGTGAGGCCTCAAGTCCTGACAAAGAGTTGAAAACCCCATGACCCAGGGTCTTCATCTTAGATTCTGCCCCCACATGCACTGCATCCGGCTCTTGCTGCACTTGTTTCTGCCACCATCTAGGAAGGGAGCAAACCTGTGTAAGGCAAGCAAGAAAGGACCCAGCTGGGCAGGTGGAGTCCCAGCTCCACCTGAGTGAGAAATGTGCCCATCCCTGGCCTGGGGCTGATAAGGAAGAGCTTGAAGCTGCAAGCTGCATTGCAGAGATGCTGGGCCCAGCTTGCATTTCTTGCCCCAATAGTCCTTCCCCTGACGCCCCAATTGTGCCTTTACCAAAACTTGAGAAGGGAAAGCTGGGGGCAGTAGGATTCTGCCCTGCCACGAGTCTAGTTCTCTCAGCCTAGTGGCAGCTCCCCTTCTACAAACCCTAGAAACCCAGCAAGATGCATTCAGCCTGCAGCCTGCAGCCTCACCCACTGTTAACTCTAGGAGCAAGCTCTCCTGTTTGGGGGAGTGTAGGCTGAAAGCAGATACCTAACCTGTTTAACCTGTCTGACGTCATCTTCGCTCCACCCACCTGTGCCCCAGGTCCCCAGTCGAGCTGGCTAGCTCTTCCTGTTCTTTGCTTCCGTCCTCTCAGCTCCCACAGAGTAGCCCAACCTGTCAAAGCTGAGCTTCTGGTGCTCTTCCTGGCCTCAACTCAACCCCCTGTTCCTCACCCCAATGAGAGGGAATATAGGTACAGGCCTCTAAGAGCTGAGAGTTGAGGCCTTTTAACCAATAAACAGACTGTGACCTCTGCACCTGCAAACACCTTCGCTCTCCATGCTGAGCCAAGATGGGGAATGGAAAAGATGAAGATTATAATTTTGTCTTCAAGGGTAAGTTGGGGCTCTTGAAAGGGAAAGAATCTAAAGAGGGTGGGAGAGAGTCTATTTCCAGAGGAGACAGGGTCTTTTCTTGGTTTTTTATTTCTTACTTGGACACCGACACCCCCACCCCCACCCCCAGGCTCAGCATTCCTTCTAGGAGAGAAAAGAGGCCTAGAGGAGTATAGGCAGGTCTGGTTACAGGTGCAGATGTTTGAAAGTTGTATGCCCTATTCCTTCCTATTGCCAAATTAGTAGGCTGCCCTACCCATTCTCTAATAGACACTCAAATCCCTGGGAATGTCAGCCTGTGAAGCCCAAGAGATGGAAGTCTGACTTCAGAAAGTACTTGCATTCAGGGCAGAGGGAGAAGAAAGCCAATGTAAGAGGAAGAAAGTTTGTCTGGGTGGTGGTGGTGGTGGTGGTGCTGATCTTTAATACTAGTACTTGGGAGGCAGAGGCAGGAGGATCTCTGTGAGTCCCAGGACAGCCTGGTCTACAGAGTGAGTTCTAGGATAGCCAGAACTACACAGAGAAACCCTATCTTGAAAAAAAATGGGGGGTGGGGGGGTAGGAAGAAAGTCATCTTGTCATCTTTCTGAGCAGATGCATAGACAGGAGGGGAAGGAAAGAAGTAGTCGTTGCTGAGCTAGTTAAGTTGATACATAGGGAAGACACTGGGATAATGCAGGGAATTTGAAGCAGTCTGATGGATTACATGGGACTCCTGGGCTGAAGCCTGTGCAATGGCCTTTTGCACCTTCTCTGGACATACACTAGGTACTTCTTCACTGGGCTGTCCCTGAAAGTGAGCATGTATCCTTCCTGCCTTTTTGTCCTCAGCTCTTAGAGTTTGGTCCCTCTATGGGTCTCTAGCCCACCTCTTAAAGGCAAGGTGGCCTGGTGGCACTCTCCTTCCCTTTGCACCACACCCCACAGCCCAACCTCAGCCCCACCCTGGCCCAAGCTGGGGAGCCTGTACTCCTGGCATTTTCCCAAGGAAGCTGGTAGGGCTGTGGCTGTGGTATAGTGACTCCCATTTATTGAGCTCCTTGTAGATACCATTTTCACAAAATCATCTTCACATCCCTGTTGTGGTCTATCAGTTTTGTGTGGTTCCACGCATGACCTCTCTGCCACAAACCAGTTAGCACAGATGGGGTCCCAGTGCTACTATGGAGAAGTGTGGGGTATTCTAAGCTGACTATAGGCCACCACATATGAAGATAAGCAGGAGTAAACAGGATTGGGTAGAGGGTAGTCACCTGCCATGAGAGCGCAGAGGTAGTTGTAGAACAGGGAGCTTTGGAGTAGCCTCAGAACAGTGACCCTGAGGTACCATGTGGAGTTGTCTAGGAGAGGCATGACATCCCATGTCCACGAGGGCTCATGTCACTCACTGCTACTGCCTTCACCCCTTGAAATGAAGGGGTAGGGCAGGCAAATCCTTCCTGGAAAGTAAAGGTGGGTAATACATGTATGTTTAGTACAGTGTAATAGACCTACTACGGGGTGCCTTCCTTGTCTATAAAAATGGGAATAATGAAGGCATTCATCTCTGGGCATTGTGAGGCTACATAAAGTTTTTTGGATGGTGGCTGATGTGAATGTCAGCCATTGGCATCACCATGGTACAGAGGAGGAAATTAAGTTGTAGAGAGTTAAGTAGCTTGCCAAAAAGAAGTCACAAAGGGGGCCGAAGAGGTGGCTTAGTAGGTAAGAGCACTGTTGTTCTTCCAGAGCACCCAGGTTCAATTCCCAGTACTCAGATGGTTCACAACCATCCATAACTCCAGTACCAGAAGACCTGACATCCTACCAGGCATGCATATATACAAGCAAAACATACATACACACAGACATCCATACAAGCAAAATGCTCATACACATAAAATAAATAAGTCTTAAATTAAAACAATTTTAAAAAGGCCACAAAGCCTGAGGACAGGGCCTGGATGGATGGATGGATGGACGCAGATGCTCCTAACAAAGGAGAGGCAGTGAGACACACGCATACCCACAGGTGTACTCCTGCACCCACCTCTCACCACACAGCAGTGTCACCTGCCAACGTATGCCTCCATCTCCCATCTCCCATGTAAACACACACACATCCAAGTCCCTCTTCCTCATGCTTCCAACTCATATTCAGACATCAGTAACTGGGGCTAGAGAGATGGTTTAGAGGTTAAGAGCACTTGCTGCTCTTCCAGAGGTCCAAGTTCAATTCCCAGCAACCACATGGTGGCTCACAACCATCTGTAATGAGATCTGGTGCCCTCTTCTGTCAGGCAGGCATATGTGCAGGCAGAAATTATATATATATCCTTTAAAAAAGGCAACAGGCTGAGTGGTGGAGGCGCATGCCTTTAATCCCAGCACTCGGGAGGCAGAGGCAGGTGGATCTCTGTGAGTTTGAGACCAGCCTGGTCTACAAGAGCTAGTTCCAGGACAGCCTCCAAAGCCACAGAGAAACCCTGTCTCAACCCCCTCCTCCCAAAAAAGGCATCAGCAACTTCCTCGCGCCCCTAGTCCAGAAATGTGCACCTCAGACCTCCCAAGCCTTTGCCTTTCACATACCTTGTCTCTCTAACACATGTCCTCTGTGAACAGCCCACAGCTCTTGCTGTGTTACCAGCAATACAGACAGACTCTGTTGCCTCAACAGCACTTGCCTTGAACACTCCTAGCCCTTCTGTCCCCACCCCCCACCCCCGACAGATGTCCAAGCAGTGTGGCCAAGAGACTGCCAGGAGATTTTCTTGCTTTTCTGAGCTCCTTTCTTTCCTGTGGGACAGACTCTGGCTCAGGTAGGCTCAGAGCGGCTGTGCCCTGGCTCAGCTCTCCGCTCTCCTCTCTCCACTTCCTCAGTGGTGCTGATCGGCGAGTCAGGCGTGGGCAAGACCAATCTGCTGTCCCGGTTCACCCGCAATGAGTTCAGCCACGACAGCCGTACCACCATCGGGGTTGAGTTCTCCACCCGCACTGTAATGCTGGGCACCGCTGCTGTCAAGGCGCAGATCTGGGACACAGCTGGCCTGGAGCGATACAGAGCCATCACCTCTGCGTGAGCCCAGGCCTGGGGGGATTGTGAGGACCCTGGGACCCCAGCGCTCTCCTATGGACTAGAGATGTGGGAGGATGGGAGGCTGGAGAACGTTGTGTGTTCCCTGGGACGGGAATCATGACAAAGACAGTTCTGTGATTGACCAACAGGGACAGATAGGGTGTAATGATTGTTAACACAAATCATGGCCCCACTTACTAAGCCTCTCATGTGACCAAGAAGATACAAAGTACTGGCATTTTGTGGAGCTCTTAATGTATTACAGAAACAGCTGGGCGTTGGTGGCACACGCCTTTAGTCCCAGCACTCGGGAGGCAGAGGCAGGTGGATTGAGTTCAAGACCAGCCTGGTCTACAAGAGCTAGTTCCAGGACAGCCTCCAAAGCCACAGAGAAACCCTGCCTCGAAAAATAAAAAACAAAACAAAACAAAACAAAAAGTATTACGGAAACAAGTGAGATGCTGTAATCCAATCCATCCTTGTTTAGATTGGTGCTTGGAGCAAGAGCGCCCCCTGACTTCAGCACAGTACTCTACTCTTGGCAACATGTCTAATCACAAGTGCCAAGAGCTAGCTGAACTTTAGAGGGTTTTTTGGCAGACTGGGCAAGCCTGAGCTCACATGTAGACCTGGAACTCACTATGTAGTCCTGGCAGTCTGGAACTTGCTATGTTCTAGGCCAGGCTGGCCTAGAACTCATAGAAATCTGTTGCCTCTGCCTCCTGAACACTGAGATTAAAGGTGTGTTCCACCATTCCTGACCATGATGTTTTAAAAATGAGATTGGTTGATTGATTGATTGGTAGATGGATGGATAGATGTATGGATTGTACTCAGAATTGAATTTATGGCTTCCCATACAGTAGGCATATCCCCAGCTTGGAATATATATTTTATAAAGCCTCAGAAAGTTAGGCCTTCTGGCACCATATCCAGCGTCTCTTGGTCAGTGTCTGAAATGTGGTCTGTCTATCAAGTATGCTAGAAGACAGAACTACAAGAGACCAGAAGCAGGAAGCAGGGTTTATTGTTATGTATACTAAAGGGCCACACCCACCCACCACTCTTATCTATTTGACCTCTTATAAGACTTGGTTGACTTGTTAATAAACTAGGAATAAACCACGCATGGTGGTTCACACCTGTAATGCCAGCCAAAGCAGGACGATTGCCTTGAGTTTGAAGTCAGCCTGGGCTACGTATTGAGTTCTTGTCTCAAAAGAAAACAAGGAATAATTAAATCTGAAGACAGCCTTTTGAACTCAGGCTCCAGAAAGAGGCTAAATGTCTGTAGGAATTCAGGTCAGGTACTGGTTCAAGGGGCATATGTGGCTCACCCTGAGAAGATACCAGAAGAGACCACTAGATGAAGAGCCGTGTGAGAAAGACATTAAAAGTGGAAGATCCAGGACTGGAGAGATGGCTCAGATGTCCTGAGTTCAATTCTCAGCAACCATTTATTTGGTGGTTCACTATCTATAATGGGATCTGATGCCCTCTTCTGGTGTGCAGGCACACAAGCAGGCAGAATGCTGCGTAAATGAATGGAATTAATGAATTAGTCAGCTTTTTTAAAAAGTGGAAGATCCAGGGGCATGCCTGCTCAGGGTCCATGTAGGCACTGGCGGGTGGTACAACTGTAGACTCTGAGACCAGCATCCCTGCAGCACCAGGGTGCTTCGAGTGCTCTGCAGGGGCTGGGGTCCTCCCTGGCTGCTGGCACACTGGCAGGCCTTTAGCTTGATGATTATGTTCTGGGGCTGAGCCCGGCATCCCTGTCCATCCCTCCCTCTCGCCCCCATACAGGTACTACCGAGGAGCAGTCGGGGCACTCCTGGTATTTGACCTAACGAAGCACCAGACCTATGCTGTTGTGGAGCGCTGGCTAAAGGAGCTCTACGACCATGCTGAAGCCACTATTGTTGTCATGCTTGTGGGGAACAAAAGTGACCTCAGCCAGGCCCGGGAGGTGCCTACAGAGGAGGCCTGCATGTTTGCTGGTGAGAGCCTATTCCCCCTCAGTCTGATTTTCGATTGCTCATACACTTAGGGCCCTGAGTGGTCTGTTCTCTCATGTGGTTCACTGCTTCCAGGCCCTCTGGGAACCCATATGCCTCCGCCTACTCCCTGCTGTGAGACTGCCTTCATTAACAGTTGTTTATAGCTGATTTTAAGACAGCCCCCACCCGGACATACCCAGAGCCCCTTGTGGTCTCCTTCCTGGTGGCCATCTCCTTCCCCAGCTTTCTGGGTTTAGCAGTAAGCAGTTCAATGTGGCGGACTAGAGCACAGCCTCCAGCCTCCTCTCGGTCAGTTCCTAGATGTAGGCCATGGTGCAAGTTCCTTCTTCATTCTTTCTGCGTTTCTAGGTTTTATTTTCCTAAAAGAAACTGCTTTATAGATTGTATAAAGGATTAAACGAACTACTATCTACCAAGGGTTTTGCATATATAAAAAAGACACAGGAAACATTAAATAAATATTATTATTGTTGCCACTAACCCACAACTAATATGCACTTCTTTCCTGGAAGAAAACAATGGTCTGCTGTTCCTGGAGACCTCTGCCCTGGACTCCACCAATGTTGAGCTAGCCTTTCAGACTGTCCTCAAAGGTGAGAGCCTGCTCACATTGGGTACTCGATTTCAGGTGGGATACCCTGTCCTAGCTCTTAGCCCACCATAGGCCTCCAAGCCTCCTCAGAGACACTGGTCCCACCACCCATCCTAGAGTTTACAGAAGGAACCAGAGGTCTCAAATTTTTTTAGGGGGCTGAGTCTGGGTTCAGCCTTCCCAGGAAGGTAGACAAGACCCAGGTGTCAAAACTACTTCCTGCCAGTAAAAAATCTTTCCAGGGTGGCCACCTGTGCTCAGAAATGGTATGGTTAAGGGGTGGGACATTAAACTTCTGCCTGATTATTGCTCTTTGTTCTTAGAGATCTTTGCAAAGGTGTCCAAGCAAAGGCAGAATAGCACCCGGGCCAACGCCATCACCCTGGGCAATGCTGAAGCTGGACAGGATTCTGGCCCTGGGGAGAAGAGGGCTTGCTGCATCAACCTCTGACTTCAGCCATGGTCAACCCTGTGTCCCTGTCTTTATCCGTCGGGTGCCCCCCCCCCTTATTGCAGGACTTCTCCCTACCCTCGAGTCCCTGTTCACAAGCACCCAGGGGCACCCATGCCCTACCACATGTCTCTATCATCTGTCCACACCCCTCACAGGCCAGGGCCCTCAAATAAAGCTGTTTTGTATCATGCTCTGGTCATTTTACCGCCTTCCATCTGTCCCTCGTCGGATCATCTGTGCTGCCCTTCCAACTTTGACTCCTCCTGAGTCGATTCCTTTCTCCATCCCTTTCTGTCATCCCCACCATATCCACTGCCCCTCAGGGCCTGCTTTTGGAGTTCTGTGGTCTGGGGACAGTGCCAAGGGGGCAGGAATTGCCTACCCTTCTCTCTGCCAGCCCCTAGGGCAGGTGGGGGATGGAAGATTGTGTGGAGGGGAGGGTTATTTGGAAAGCAAAACAAAAGAAACCATCCTCCAGCACCATCTGGTACCCAAAGCTCTGGTGCCAAGAACTGAGGTCACTCTAATGCCAGGGGCAAGAGGAGGTGGCTAGGGAAGATTCAGAGAGCAGGGCCAGCCTACTATATGTACTCAGGAAGGGTTCGTAAGACTGGAGGGGACACTCCATCCAGTCCTTTCCCTATCCCTCAACAGGGAAGAACTGTGTTTGGTAGAGTAGGAGGAGGATTTTTGTCTCTCAACATCTTTTCCAGGGAGCCAAGAAATGGCCATCCAAGCAAGGGATGGCAGGGAACCTGGGAGATACCCACTTTTTTGTTTGTTTGTTTTTTCGAGACAGGGTTTCTCTGTGTAGCTTTGGAGCCTATCCTGGCACTCGCTCTGGAGACCAGGCTGGCCTGGAACTCAGAGATCCACCTGCCTCTGTCTCCCGAGTACTGGGATTAAAGACATGCGGAGATACCCACTTTCCACACCAGAGTACTACCACCCCCACTGCACTTGCTACCCCAAGATGCAACTGTCATACAGTGAAAGACAGAGCCTTAAGTAATAATACTTTTAATAAAATTAACTTCTCAATAGCACATTTAATACATTAACCCTCCCCCTTCTTGGTTTCTCTGCATTGTGTGCAACATCACTTTGACTTGATTATTCATGGGTCTATTTTATTTCCCACCTTTATTTTGCATTTGAAAATCTTCCTTGGTGATTTGTACGAGTCACTAGATGCCTCAAATTAAGTCTGACCACGATCCTACTCTACTTTCTACAGTGGAGAGACCATCTTCCCTGCCCCAGGGTTGTCTCCACTCACCCACTTGACCCCTCAAGCATTCACCCTCAGACAGGCAAGGGGAAATTCTCCCTTTTCCAGATGCTACCATCTCAAACTATCGAGGGTCCTAGGGCAAAAAGGGGCAGGGGTACCTCTAGTCTCTAGATGGGGTGAGAAGAGCAAACTGGGGAGAGAGATGGGTTTGGGCTCTAGGGTCACGAAGTGGTATGTCAATCACTGGTGCAATGCTTGCTCAAACTAAAGCCACGAGGCCTCTCCCCATCCTGATTGGATTGCCAGTGGGGGCTGATGGAAGGCAAGTGCTTAAAAATGTGTATTTCTCACATGCAAAAGCCAGGCTTCCAGTTTTCCTAGGGAAGGTGACGTGGCCATGTGGGTGATGCCTATATGAACACAGAGGGAGACTAGGACACAAGGGCTGCAATGGGGGTCACCAAGCTCCCTGCATACTTTTACCTCTGTACTTTGTGGGGTAGGTTCTCCCAGGCCAGTATTTGCACTCTACTTCCTGGGAAGAAAGTATTTCTTGGGATGTAACTTTCTCTGGGACTCCACAAAGCCAAGTGTGATGGTGCATGCCTTGTAGTCCCAGCAACTGGAGGCAGCAAGAAGATGGCTGCTTGTTTAAGGCCAGACTGAGCTAGAGACCCTGTGTCAAAAAATAAAAACAAAAACCCACTACACATGTGAAGGAAAGCAGCACTAGATTGCATTGCCACTCTCCCTGCTGCATGGGCACTGGACAATCAGAGCTGACAAGCACTGGCATGTTCATTGTTGAACCAACCTGTAGCAAGATGGACTGAGGTGACTTCAAGGACTTCCTCAGTGTGGCCTGGGAGAAACTGCCTTGGGTGGGGGTTGGGCATTAAGAGTAGGGGCTTCCCAACAGATGGCCAGGCTCTGGGCCCAGTCTCACCCGGCTTAAGATGACCAGTGTATACCCTGGCAAAGACCCTGGGACAGAGCCCCTCGTATACTTGTCCCACACTTAAAACCTAAGGATTCTCAGAATCAACCCCAGCAGACTGGAAGCTCCCAATCTTAGCTGGCAGACTGCTCCAGCCCCGTCGCCAGGGGTAGGCAGCTCAGCCACTGGCCTCTATTCTTTCTTCCCATACTTTTATACATTCTACTGGGCTCAGGGGCCCACAATGCTACTAAACTTTAAGCTATCTGAGTATCGTCTACTAAGTAACTAGTAATTCTTTTTTCTTTCTCTAGGATTATATGAAATAAATTTGAATTATTTTGTAGTATTCTCTTCTTTTAAACCCCTCGGTTTTTCTTTCTCTTCTCATTTTTTTTTTTTTTTTGGTTAAAAAAAAATCTATTTCTCTTAAATCTCACGCCTCTGAGGGTTTCCATAGGCCTGCTAGGCCTCAGTTCTGGCTTTCCCCTCCTTACTTGCCCCTGGCACAGGGTAGGGGAAGGAGGGGACACCCCAGGACCCTCAGTCTTTAGTCCCAAAGCTTCTTCCTTTCTGGTTAATCCTTTCCTTTGTTTGGCTCTGCCGGCTCCCCTGAGGGGGAGGGGGAGGGGAGCCCAGGGAATGAAATCCAATCTACTGGTGGGGGCCCCAGAAGGGACCAACTCCTCCATCCCCTCTCCATCCATCCATCCCAGGATGCTCCCCCAAGAAAAGCAAATGACATTTCTCCCCAAAAAAAAGTGGGGGGGAAAAAAAAGAACATAAACCCGAACATATATTAAAAACTTTTTTAAGATTTAACTCTGAATACAAATGTATTTTTTCTTCTCTCCCTACATATATTCTAAACCTTCTAAAGTTTTTTTTAAGGATCACTTTATCATAAAATAAAATATCCTTTTCATATAATAAATTACCTAATAAAAAGTCTTTTTTTCATATTAGCCCAGGTTCTTTGCTACATTTATACGGTAATAAATGCCTTTATTAAAATAGAATATTAAATTATAAAGAACTGCTTTTTTTTCTTTTTTGCTATTTTTGTTTCCTCTCCTCTGTTGGTTACCCATCTCACTCCCTCATTGCTTTCTCTTTTGTCGCTCACTTTTGCGTTTTGCGCTTGTTTCTAGGAAAGGCTCACTCAGCAAGGGTGGGATTGGATCTGTGGAGCCCCTAGTGTAACAGTCTTTTGCCTTTGTGGGTAAGGAGTGGAGAGGGGGAGGGGATCGACAGACAGACACCCCTTCTTCCCACCCCCTCCCGTCCCCTGCCCCTGGGCAACCCAGGGTGCCCATTTGTTTTGGTTTCTATTGTACAGACATCTCAAGATGGCTCACATTGGTGGAAAGGAGGGAAGCTGCCACAGGCCAGTTTTCTGGGCTGTGACCTCCTTCCTCTCCTCTCCCAGGCTGGTGGTCTGGAGGGGAAGGCTGAGGAGAGGCAAGTTAGTTCACAACAGGCAAAGGAGAGAGGGGCCCTCCCTCTGTGCCCTGCTCCACATCCTTTCTCCATCCAGGAGGAATGGGACTCCTAAGCTAGAAGAGCTCAAAGTAGTCCCCCGACTATATACAAGCATCTCCTGGGCCTCCCCATCACCCATCCTCTCTTGGCCCGGCCAGCGGAACCAAGAGGGTAGGAGGCGGCTGACAGACACACGTGAGCAATGGGAGCAGCAAAGCGGTGCCAGGCCTATCACAATACCTGATTCTTGTAACAGGCACTGCTGCACCTCAATCCTGCTTTGCCCTGGCTTGACCCTCACCAAAGATCTGGCCTCTCACCAGCCAGTGGGTAAGACAGAGACTTCATGATTTGTGGCTAATAAGGATTCAATAATGGTTCATCTAGGTGCAGAGAGGTCAGGGGGTAGGCCACTGCAGGTGAGGGGGAGGGGAGCCCTTCCAGCCACATCTCTCCTGCCCCAGGACTTTTCCTAGTTTCACTTCCCTTGGCCAGGAGAAGTGCTCCCTAAGTATAATGCCCATAGGTGATATAGGTGGGGTTTCAACCTTTAAATACCCCGTTATTAGTTTGTTTCCCCTCTGGAATTGTCACTGAGCTGATTCTTTGGAGGAGTGGGGGGTAGGGCTGTCCAGTACATAAGGAGGAACTGGGGTGCTATCAACATGTTCACCAGACTTCTCCCCAGGAGGGCGGTATCCCCAAAGCTGGGCTAGAAGGGGCAGGAAGGGGGGAAGGGCAGAAAGATAAGAGGAGCAGGAGGGAACTGAAAGTGACCGCCATGGGAGGGGGGACTGGAGAAATAGAAAAAGAAGCAAAGGGCAAACCCAGAAGTTGGGAAAAAGCCAAGCAAAAAGTTGGAGGGGAAAGAGAAGCCCCTCTTTCTGGATCTCTCTAGCCCAGTTTTGTAAGACAGATGAGTTGTGAGCCCTTTATTGATTGACATCCTCCTCCACCCCAGAGCATCTGCCTAGGTCTTCGATAGGCCCCCACCTTCCTATCTGTTGGAAACTCAGGGTATGAGTGGGGAGGGATAAAGAAAGGGTCATGTCGGGAGGTGGGCGGTCAGGACCAGAGGGGCCGGGGACCACTAAGAGCACCTCTAGTTACAGATGGCAATTCTCTCCCTCCTGTGTTCTCTTACCTCTCCACAGAGGAAGGAGAAAAATGACACAAGAATGGGGAGAAGGGAAAGAACAGGATGTCCTGATGGTGGCTTCAGGCTAAACAAAAGCTTCTCTTAGCTGCTTCCAGATTTAAGGGTGTGTTGAGGTATCAGAGTTGTAACTCTAGTAAAACTTACAGTCTGGCCCCCTCCCAAAGGGTAACCAGAGGTTCTGAAAGTGGCTGCCCCCACAGCCACTCATGCCTCCCTTCCCCACCCCAGCGAGTGAATATTTCTAAGCACCTTGCCCTGTAGTCACTGATTTTCCAAAAGGCCCTAAATGTCCAGGGTGGCACCCTGGGCAGTGGGCCCAGGAGACCAGGGACAGGGAGCTTAGGAAAATATTCGGATGGCTTGCGTGGCGGTGATGTGGCAGACAGGACACTCTGGATCCGTCCTCTCGCAGATGCGTACTGCACACTCCATGCAGAAAAGGTTGTGTCCACAGGGCACCAGGGCTGCTGTCACTTCGCTCTCAAAGCACACCATACAGTCCCGCCCGCTGCCTGGGCTCCGCAGCCCTCCCGCCCCCAGTTTAGAGAAGCCCTGCAGTGGCTCTCCAGGTGGCCGCCGAGGGAGCCCGGCCAGCTGCTCCTGCCCGGCTGAGGTGGCTGGAGAGCGGTGTGCGCCTGGCGGCCCTGCGCGTGCCTTGGCTGAAGAGGAGGAGGAGGAGGAGGCAGAAAAGAGCACCGAGGTGGGCGTGGCGTTCTCCTGGCCCGCCCACAGCGGGGGGCTTGTCTCCGCCACGCCGTAGTACACGTCCTGCTTGCCCACTCCGTAGCCCGGAAACAAATACCCGCCGTAGCCGAAGTCCCCGCCCTGCTCGCCTAGGCGCGGGGCCTCGAAGGCCGAGTCCACGCCGCACTCGCCGATGCAGCCCAGGCTGTTCTGCCGGAAGGAGGAAAGCGGCTTGCAGCCTGGAGCATGCACCCGCCAGGCATCTGAGTAGCGGCTGTCCAGCGCAGCGTCGGGGCTGCCAGCCAGGAAGTCGCCGTCGCTGTTATATTCGAGGATCTTGCCGGTGCGCACTGCGATGTGCGTCTCGATCTCTTCCCGCGCACGTTCCACGTTGCCCGGGGCGCCCGTGATCTCAAAAACCGGGTCGCGGTCCCGGCTGGGAGTGATGATGTATGTGTTGGTCTGCTGCTGAATGCGTTTGATGGTCGCTCCCTTGGGGCCCACCACCAGTCCCACCACACGGTAGGGCACTCGTACACGGATGGTCACCTGGCCCGGCAGAGCAGGGGCCACACCAAAGGCGGCGCCAGACTTGTTGCGTGAGGCTCTTATCATGGAGAAGTGCTCAGCTGCTGAGATGATTTCCCTCCGGGCTGTGGCCACATCTTCCCGCCTCCCGGTCACCATGAACACTGGCTCCTCACCTCGCACAGGTGTCTTGATGTAGGTGTTGGTCTTGGCTCTCAGAGCCTTAATCTTGCAACCTGAACAGAGTGGGAAAGAAATCCACAGGACAAGGATATTTGTACTGGGATCGTCTGCAGAATCCCAGCTTCCCAGGAACCCTTTAGTTGGGTCCATTGATACCCTCAACCACACAGACAGCCCACCCCACTTGACCAATGGAGTGACCATGTGTACCATTCGGGGCCTTCCAAATACACTCCTCCTGTAACACCACCTCCTTCAGAATCTTTCAGAAAAGCGGCTAACCCAAAACCTGCTCACAAACTATTCCCTAAGCATCCACCCTTCTGTTCCCTCCATTTCACCAAGCTCTCGGTCACCTCTCCTAATCTTTGCTCAAAACTCCAATGCACTCATTAACCCAGTCTGCTCATGTGATCTCCATTCATTAAGAGAGTCTGTGCTCTAGCTCACCCAGGGACCCTGACCACCGCGTGCTGTGACCTCCCCATGCCTTCTGCCCCACAATCTCTGTGATTCTCCACACCATAAAGAGTTTGTAGCACCTGACTCAGTGTGGGTCTTGGGGGAGAGGAGAGGATGGAGGTGGGGGGGTCAGAGTTAGAATTTCAAGGAGAGAAAAGTAGAAGCCAGTATCACCCAGAGACCTGTACCCCTGTACTCTCTGCCCCTGTGGGCTGAGAAGGGAGGAATTGGGCATTTCTGGACCCATGCTCGGCTTTGAAGGAGTATCATGTTAGAGCTGGGAGGCTGGGGAGAGAGACAAAGAGAAAAGGAGGGGAGCGTAGGAAGGCTGGCTACCTGTTGGGAAAGGCTGGTAGACCTCAATGGCTGGGTGGACCTGTCTGCCTTCACACAGCCTCAGAGCCTTTCATCCAAGCAGCCTGGTGCTGTAAGCAGAGCACCCCTTCCCATGTACATGGGTCCCCTCCTAGCTCAGTCTTCTTCAGCACAGACTATAGACTAATACACACCCAGGCCTTTGCCCCATTCTCACAAACTCCCTCGGCTCCCCAGGCACGTCATCTCACCAACACACTATCAATCCAAAGCCAAGTAAGTGCACATTCTTCTGACCGCCCCAACCCTCAACTGCAGGCTTCTGGGTGAGCTTGTTTTTCCTTTCTCCTTCTTCTTACTCCCCCAAACAGTATCTTTCCTAAACCTAATGGATTGGAGGGACACAGTGGGTTAGGGATGTCTTTTTGTCTTTAAAATATATTAGGAAGGAAAATTTGACTCCTCCCCTTCTCTTCAGACCTGTTAGCAGTTAAGAAGTCCTACTTGTTGTCAGTCCCACATCCTGACTGCTGTAATGCGGTAGATGAAGGTTCAATTTGTGAGGCTTGGAGGATCAAAGCACAGTATGTTCTGCCACCTCAACTTGCATGCCATCTGATGGGCACCCAGGCTCTGGCACTTCAGATATGAGTCCAAAAACTTCAGTGGGAGCAGGTATCTTTGAGGGTTGGGGAGTTTTGGAGGACAAGCCCTGGTATAAGACTAAGTAGAAAAGCCAGAGGCCAGGCAGTATAGAAACCAGCACCTCATCCTCTTGGGTTCTGCAACCCTGAAGCATCTCTAGAAGGGGAAGCCAGAACTCAGAGAAACACTTAAACTGAAGCAGCCTGGGGAAGGTCAGACAAGAGGAGTTCTGTGTACTTATAGAATGGGGAAGGGAGGACATACGTTCTCTGAATAGGAGAAATTCTACTTTTATGATGGATAGGCACATTTGCTAAGGAGGCAGAAGAGTAAAGGGTCCCATTAAATTTTGGTGCCTTCCAAGACCTCACCCAAGTGGAGATATTAATATCCCCACCCAATTCCAGGCTCTGGATCCCCAGGGTCCCTGACAAGGAGGGGAAATCCAACTTTCTTAATCAGACACCCCAAGAGATTGAGAGAGGGGGCGCTGCGCAGGGGAGTGCCAAGCTCCCCTCCTCCACTCAGCGCTCTATTCCAAATCCTCCAGCCCCAATACGAGGGTGGATGAAGTGGGATATGGAGTAGGGGCCCCAGCTTGCCTCCCCTCCACCGCCAGGAACTGGCCTCCTCTACTCCCGCGGAATGCAGCCCCTCCATTGTTCCCCACTGTGGGACAGCTCCTCCCCCACTCCACCTCTCAGCCCAGCCCCTTTGCAATATCCAAATCCCGCCTCCCGAGAAGCTGGGAGGGGAAGGGTCCCCAAGATCCAGGCTGCTCAATTTGGGTACTTACCAACACTCCCACCCATCCAGGGATGCTGGGTTGAGGAGGGTGTGGTAACATACTCCACTGGCTTAATCCAACACCCCTCCCAGCAACACCCAGACATGCACCCACCACCAAAATTTCCAAGTGGAGGTTTCTCTGCCCCTTCACCAACATGCCCCTCCTGCCCAGTCCCACGCGTTCACTCAGAGACTCCTCTTCAGACCCCTGGCTCCAGGCCGTGGCCAGCCCAGAACAAAAGCAAGACGGAGAAGGAGAGGCCCACTCCAAGGCTGGTACCTCCTCAGAGACACCCTCCCCAAACACAAGGGCCCACACAAGTGCCTGCAGGCGACCACAGGACCCCTCTCTGCCAAGGGCTCCCATCACCTCTCCCTAGACTGGGACCCTCCCCTGGGCCACACCCCCTTTCATTCCTACACTCAGCCCAACAAAGAGACAGATCTTCAGTCCGGCTTCATAGACCGGGTCTCCCTCAGAGTCCCCAACTCCAACCGCAGAAGGTCCCAGGAGTGCCCCCTCCCCAGTCTACAAGCAGATACCAGAGTAGGCACTTCCAAGTAATTGCACATTCCGTCAGTCCTTCCAGCCCGGAGCCGACACCCCCTCCGCACGGACCCGGGGATTGGGAGGCAGCTCCCCCTCCCCTTTCCTCTCCCAGTTCCAGGATATTTCTTTGTCTACGGGCGGAGCCCCAGGGGAGGAAGGGTCCCGAGAGCCGTCCCGACGAGGGGTACCAGGGAACTTTGTGGCACTTGGAATCTGGGCAGGGGGCGGGGCCCCCTTTGTCGGGAAGGGACAGAGCCAGAGGCGGGCAAAGAGGGAAGCGATGAACTTTCAGCGCCGGGGACGGCAAGCCCCCACTCCAACCCTCGCGGTGTCCGGACGCCCGCTTACCTTGCCTGCCCACGATCTCGGCCACGTGCTCGGAGGTGGGCACCGGAACGCACTCCGTGGTGTTGCTGCTGCCCTTCAGGCGCAGCTCAGCCTCTTTGTAGAGCGCGCAGAGCTTGG